AGCCTGCTGAAGCTCTGGCTGCAGCCTGCCTTTTGCAGATGAAATCTTGGCAGTCCAGAGCGGCTAAGATCTTCAGGCGGCATTGGGCAACCTTCATTAATCGTATGAAGTCTGGGAGGGGGGAGTCAGTGAAGCAGTTATGAATCAGAGCTGCTCCCTGGTCCCATGCTGCTCTCCGGTAGCTAACTGCATCATAGCCTGCTCTTAAAGAGATGCACCTTCTCCTTTCATTACAGGTATCTGTATTTTTATAAGCAGACAGTAGACCTGCTGATAGAGCATGGGATTGTTTGCACTGAAGAGGTGCCTCTTCCTGTGGTCTCCACGGCTATTTCCCACCTCTGGCAAGAACTTTCCGAAGAAAGGAGGGACAGCATCTTGCAGTACTGCAGTCAGAGAGATTTCCTCCTGGATCCCCAGGCTCCCTGCCAAGAGCCTGCGTGTGCCGGAGGCAGCGTGAGGGACAGCCGAGGTAACAGTGAGGAAGCCAGTGGTTCCTTGGTCTCCACACAGGAGGAAGTAAGTGCTCAATAATACAGCCCGACTGCCTCTGAAGCTCCAAGCCTTGAGAGGAGCTAATTGGCTGTGCAGCTTTTAATTGGAGACCTACAGTCATTGTAATTAAGCCTGCCTACGACCACTTGAATGCATAAATGGAGACTGTAAGCAGTCTTTGAATAAACGTCTGCATTGAATTCTCTTTCAATAAGATACGTAGCAAGCTGTAAGCAGGCAGTGCCAGGAGTCCTGCTAATCTCCGTTGACCTGTAGCATTTCTGTGCTAAGTAACAGTTAAATTTGCTCTAAATAACGCCGGGGGAGGGAGCAAGAGCAAGGATTATACGGTTACCGTTCTCTGTGAACTCTGCAAGGAGCACAGATGGGCTAAACCCGGGAGGAATACCCAGTTTCCTAAGGCCTGCCCTTTTTTCAATCAAAGCGCTTTGTAACAAAGTGAGAATGTTTGTAGACCAGCTCCAGTGGTACAGGGTGAATGACTGCCCGTTCCAGGCATCCCTGCAGAGCCAAGAGCCAGTGACTCAGTAGTTCAGGGCATTCGTTAAAATGAGATTAAGCAAGAGGTAACTCGCTGCAAACTGTTTTTGAAGCGCTGATTACCTAAGCGACTAGCTGCTCAAAGGTCTATGGGTAATCTTTACTTTTTGGGGGGGGCAAGGGGAAGTCCACCTTTAGCATATAAGTAAATTGCATTGGCAAGTTCTTACTGAGTCACAGGACGCTTAGGCAATTCATGTTGCTGACCTACTTGGGAAATGTCATGGAGATGTTGCATGTGCGGTACTTTCTGGCACAGAAAACTGTATGAACTACGTTTTGATGGAGTGGATTAATCAGTTTATGTGTCTGTAACACGAAGCATCCAAACTCCGTCATACGGCAAGTCGCACACTGGAGTCAGGTGTGCTAAGAGGGGCTTGTACAGCTGAGATCTGCAGCTCTAAACAGCAGTCACAGCCTGCAGTCAAGGCTGGGAAGCACTGGTATAGTCCGTGTTTTTTACTGATGTTTTGGGAGATTGTAATGTAAGCCTAATTGCTAAAGGCTGACACACGGGCCTAAGGGAACGGACTAATCTTGTGCTCTCGGTCCTGAAATATTGTTATATTCATTATTCCTGTCTCCCCAAAACTCTGTTGGTTTACTCTGAGAGTAAACATGTCTGTTAAATGGAAAAAAAGAATTTCATATTTTTGAAGACTTAATTACTAAAAATTATAGCCTAGGTAAAACTCTGAAGTGGCTGGATATGTTGACATCTGAAGTGTTTTCTTTGGTAGGTAATGTTTGAAGATGCATTTGATGTTGCTTCTGGTTTCCTTGACAGAAATGAGACTCAGGGAATGTCTAGTCAGAGGTAAATTTATAAGCGCACCCCTTCTGCTAGATAGCGTACACACCCTTTGGAGCAAGTCAATAGACTAACTTCCTTTTTTGTGCCTACTTTTCGTAAATGGTTAAAATAGAAGCCTCCAGCCATTGGGCTCACAATAATGCTGTCTCTTAAGGTGTAAAAGTGAAACGATTTATAGGCATTTACAGCAGAACAAGGAAGAATCGCTTACTAAGAGTGCCCATTCGGTTCCGGATAACAGTGGGGCCAGCTGATTTTCTTCACTGCTCCTCATAGCTTTCTCTCTTGTCAGATTGCAAGGTTTGCAATGTTTGTCTGTTCTCTCTTTTACTTGACAGGACTACGAGGACCATAACGCATTTCCTGGATGAGTCAGCTAACTGTGAACTGTACTCTTATTTAATGAGACAGAAATAATCATTTTGGGTTTTTGTTTTGTTTTGTTTTGTTTTAACATTGCCTCCCTTACTTTTTTCAAGTACCCTAATTCAATCACAAGGAGTTGATCTAGCTGAAGTGTGGTTGACCGGAACAGTAACATCGAAGAAACACGAGATTAAATAATAACATCTCTTTCCTCTGCAGGTCAGATCACAGTTCCCTAAGAGAGAACATGTCAGATACAAAACTGGCACTGCATTTGATTTTGCCAGTAGACCGGAGAAAGACAAGGGTTGTTTTCCTCAAGAGGAAAATCGCATTATGACTCATGTCTTGTGTATTCTCATTTGCTTGTTAGATTTGGTTAGGAATTTTTTTCTTTGCAAAGTGTTTTAAATCTCTCTTTTTAGATGCCGTTTTCTACATATTTTTTCCATTTCAGAGGGCTCTTTAGTATGAATTTTATTCTCCCTTTTACCGCCACTCCACTTTGCACTTCCAGAACAGCATGAATGGAAATAAGGTTGTTTGGGCTGTTGATCAGAATACACTTGAATACACAATAAAGCTTAACAAGACACAAACCCATTAAATAACGTTGATCGTTTAAATTGCGATTAAATAACATTGTTTGCTTTTGAAATAAGAAAAAAACGTTCCTTAATGCTGCAATTTCTTGCTGTCATCTTTGCAATTTGGAGATTAGCATCCAAAAATCCAGTGTATGTCCCAAATTAGATTAGTATTTCAGTAGGCAACACTTATCCTGTCTCCTCCTTTTTCTCTCACTCCAAGCCTTGTAATTCAGGGCAGAGGTGCATGGGCAGAACTTTGTAAGATCCCAGGGAGAGTATCCTGAGTACAAAGCTGCCTGTGCTAGCTAATGTTTTGGACACTTCCATTGCCACATAGTTGTTGCATTTGCTCAAAAATTTGACAACAGAAGTCAAAGCTGTTCCTCTGAACAACCCTGCAAAATACTTTACCAAATAACCACTGTTGCTCTCGATTATAACGAATGCATACTTTTCCCTGGAACAGTGTGATTCTATCAGTGGATTTCTTTGTTGTGATGATGGTTTCTTGTATTGCAGTTCTCTGCTCTTAAGTATCTTCCTTGCATTTGTTAGACAGTATCTCCTCCACCCCTCCTTGTCTTGTTGAGCTGTTGCCTTTAATATCAGATTCATCTGGAAAACAATCTAAATCTTTTTTGATCTGTAAGTAAAACGTTGAAGAGAAAAAGGAAGAGAAAAGACAGTACAGAAAATTAAATATAATTTGTGGTTCCATTTTTAGTTCAGCATTTGGAAGCTGCACTTCTGAAAATCCAGAGGATCACCACAGACTCTATCTGCAGATCATTGACTTCCTAAAAAGCCTTTTCTTTGCTAATACGCCGTTTTGTCAGGTAAGTTTTGCCAAAAGATTCCTTATAGGAGGAGCAGCATACTCCTCTCGTTGTTAGAAAGGGATTTCTTTTCTCTGCACTTTTCTTCTTATTCCCCAGCATCATTAAAACAAGAACTTGCTGGGGTTCGTTACTTCAGATGTGCCATTCTGAAGTTCAGTGGCATTGACTATGTAAGAAGCAAGGTTTGAGGGATTATTATTAATGTAAAGTATTATTCCAAATGGCAATGACACGAGGAAAACTTTTTGTTATTCTTTGCATAAAGTTTCTATGTGGAAAAGCTTCAGTGATCTCATTGGAGGCAGGCAAATCAGTGCCTGCTCAGTTTGCTGTTCTCCATTACGCACCAGCTGCTGATCTGAGCTCAGCTGGACCACCTTGTTCTTTGTCCTGGTGCCAGGCTCCTGGGACCTCTGCTCAAAGGCCTCAAGGGTTCTCAGAGGAGCTGATAAGCAGCTGCTGGGCTGCCTCTTACCCTAAGCCTACTGTTGCAGGTTCACTGTGCCAGAAGCCATTTTATTTGCAGTGTTCTTCCTCCCTTTCTCACTCTAGTGCCAGAGAGGGAGCTGAGAACTTGCACAGGGTTAGAGGACCAAAAGGGAGAGATCCTTCAGCAAAAGGATGTTTGTTTGAGCTGAGAGTCAACTGTACCTCTACAGTGGCCACTGTTTTTCTGCTTGCTGTTATTGCCTAGCTTCTGCCACTCTCTGCTGCTTGAGCAGGTGCTCTGTTGAAGGAAATAGTGATGAGGGGAAATGAGACAGAAAATACAATAGAGACTATTATCGCACCACTGTCTGTATCACATAATGACTGCTGTTTGCCATTTGGGTCCCACCAGGTCAGAGAGACAGTAGCGCTAGAGAGATGCAGAGAATGATGGGAAACACAACAAAAAGCATTAAACAGGAACAGCTAGAGTAAGACTCTTCAGCATGGAAAAAAAGAAGGACTTGGGGGGTAGTATGAGAGAGTTGTGTAAAATACTAAGTGGTGCAGAGATAGTAAACGTAGCATGCTTTAGATAGCTTCTAAAAACAGAACTAGAAAGGACCCAGTGAAATGAACAGGCAGCACATTAAAAATACTTCTTCATGGAAATTTTCAGGTTTAACTTGAGGAATTCTTTTGCCGGATGGTGCAAGAGAGATTGAAAGGTTCAAAAAGGGATTAGAACAATTCCTGGATGATTAATCCATTGCTGGCTAATAAACTTGAAGGTCTAGATACGATTTCACATTCAGAGGGTCCACCACAGATTGCCAGCAAATACTATCAGACAGAGCACGCTACACACACAATTCTTGCACTTTTTATTTAAACATCACTCCTGGCTGTTATCAGAGACCAGGTCCTGAGCTACGCAGCCCTGTGGTCTGTGGGTGGCTATGTTCTGCTTGAGAAGAGGTCTTCCCATGTTTATGTAAATCACCATGAACTAAGGCTGGCTATAAAAGAAAGAACAGCTTTATGCAAGACTCAGTGTTTTCTGGTTTTAAATGTCGTTTGTGAATGTCGTGCCCAGCAGCATTCGGCACTCCCAGTTTGTCCTTCCTCTTGGTGCTGCGCTGGTGTGTGTGAGCCCAAGTCCATCTCACAGTTCCCAGGCCAGATGATGTGAGAAGAGGTTGTGTCTTTCAAGCTTTAAAGAGGGATCTTTGGAACAGGACTAAGAGAATAAGAATGATGGGAAGATGTGCAGCAGGGGGAAAAGCTGAGAATACTGCAGATCGGCAGTTTGACTGAGCTTTTGTGGATCCAAAAGGAAACAAAAGGCTATGTACACTTTTATTATGCAGGAATTTTGAGTTGTCTGTGATAACAGAAGACAGGGAGTATGAGCAAAAATCACCCAGGCTAGAGAGTACTGATAATGTGAAGGTCACAATCTGTTTTGGTTTAGATAATTTCAGTACAGCACATCTGGAGAGCTCTTCCAAGAGGCAAAAAAAAAAAAAAAAAAGCCTACTGACTAAATTCACTTGTTTTGAGGACAGAAATTCAGCGCCATCTCACAGCAAACAGATTTAGGCAGTCATGGAAGTGGCTGCAGAGTGGGGCTAGGAGACATCTCAGCTAGCTTGAAATATGCTAACTCGGGCAGCAGCAGAGAGCTCAGTGTAGGCTACGCAACTTGTCCCAGTAATTGGGTTATACAGAGCACCGGACTCCTGTTCTTGGCCAGGATCAGAGCCCCTCCTGCTACCTGGACACTAGCTCTGGGGTCTTTACGTTGCGCTGGTGTAACTGAATCCCAGCAGACTGTTCTTCCCCTGATACGGTACCCCTGCCGGTGCTGTGCTAGCCCAGGAGTTTGCGCAGTGCTGGGGGCATAAAACATCCCAAGGGTAAAGTGATGTCCTGGTGCGCTGTGCACGCATCTTGTAGAAGACACAGCGGTGGGTGGTGGATACAATAGTAAGGCAAGGCATGCGATGTGTACTTCACTGAAATATGAAAGGCCACCTGTGGTCTCCTTTCCCTCAGCAGAGCTGATGAGGTGATAGGTTTTATTGCTAGTCAGTACATGCCAGTTCTCTGTTCTGCCATTTCCAGTTAACTGTCTGGGTACAAGGTGCTATTGCTGGATTGTGTGCATTTACCATTTCATTGGCACAGACCCACCGAGTGCAGCTCCGTCTGAGCTGCTGCTCTCAAAGCTGCCAGGGCCGTACACCCCTCTGGTTCTTTCTCAGTTCTTCTTGAGAAAGAACTGCACAAGAGGAGGGAAGAAATCATTTGCACAGGGAATGGGAGGACTCTTAAATAGGCAGTGACCCAAAAGTGAGAACAGGAGCATGGAAGTTACATGGTAGAAAAATATTTCTGAGCATGAGATCAGTTAAGCAATTGGGTCATTTGTCCAGAGTTGTTATCTTGAGGCCACATCATAAGAGATGCTTAGCAGCAAAGGCAGTAAAGCATTAATTTAGAGTGAGGCCCAGATTTTCAAAAGTATCTAAGTGAAAGTCAGTATTTTTTTTCTAAATTGTACTGAGTATCTCTGCATCTTCAAATACACACTTCCTTTTAAAAAATAGGATTTTAGATGAGTCATGTTGCAAGCAAGTGGGATTTAGTGCTCCATAAGCTACATATTTTTTTTAAAAAGCACCAATTTTCAAAAGCAATCTTACCCTGGAGAGTCTTGCATCAATGCAGAAGTTGGACTAGATGGACTGCAGAGATAAACTCTTTCATCTCCTGGACTTTGATTTCTCGAGAGCCACTTATTCTCTCTAAGCTGGTCAAAGAGAAGCCCATTTTTTTCTGTTGCTAAAAGAGCAGCAAAGCCTGAAGTCAGTGTAAGTTAAGGGCTCTGGGAAGTGCTTGTGTCTTCAGAGCCTGTTATGTGACCCTATTGCTACGGCAGTCAATAATATCCGTCCAAATGACATGAATTGAAACGGGATGGAGCACTATGATTTTAGAAAGAAATTTGTTGAAAAATTGAGCCATTCTTCATCAGGTGCCTCAGGCAGTTGACTGACCAGTGCTGGTTGCTGATTCAGAGAGCGGGGAGGGCTTGTGGCTCATTAGCAGACACACGCCAGTGCTGACCAAACCAGCAACTCTCTATTTAAAACACAACTAACTCTCGTGGTTTTTAACTCTCCTTGGGTTTGGGCTGTTTTCAGGAAGAAGCTCTTCAGTTCGACTATGAGACCGTGATGCTGAGATGCACTGAGACCTTCGATGATGAAGATTTGTAAATAGTACCTGTTTGCTGATGTTTTGCTGAGCATTGCTGGGTACACCCGACATGAAGAGACTGCGCCTCTTTCGGTGGAATGCCCCTCCAAGGGAGCGTAGAGGCACTGTTGAAGTGATTTGTTGCTGTTGACTTCCCTCATCAGTGCTTCTTGATATATCAGTTGAGTAATTTATACGTTTAAAAGTTCTAGGTTTTAGATTATTTATAAAATCGTAACAAAGAGATTTTTTTTTTTGTCTATTGCTTTTTAATGCTTAACCTCGTTTCACAAGTAAACTGAAGCATGTACAGATAGGTGACTTTTTCAGCTCTTACCGCTTATGCTAGGCAATAGACCACATCAGTGACATCCTGCACAGTCCCCTAACATGCAGGTCTCAAACCGTGACCTGCAAAACTCACAAAGTGCTTCCCAGTGACTCCTTTCTTGTACAACTTTTCAGCTCGGGTTGGCAGTGAAAGAGGGATTTCCTCCCTTCCAGACAGGCACAGAGAGGGACACAAGTTCCTTCCATCTTCTTTACGAGAATTACAGCAGTGGCCACCTACTCTCAAGTTGCCAAGAGAAGTGAAGGCACCTTAATAAATTTCAGAGTATTTACTTTTACAAAGTGTGTAAACCTGAGCAAGGGCCAAGCCCCCCTGTGCTCTCGTGCCACATCCTATTCTTTGATGCGTAGTGCTGCTCAGATGGTGTCTAGGAATTAAAAACCCTATGAAGATAAAGAAGTTCCTTGACATCTCTGAGCTATCTTTAGAGGCACTCTGCAAGCACAGACGGATGGTCATGCTGACAACTGTCACAAACATGGGGACTGGCATCGAAGTGCAAAGGGGGGATATTTCCTATGAAGGACCACCTGCCCATGGAGCTGAGGCTGTGGTAGCACTCCCAAAGGGGTGTTTCCCAAGCTCTTGTGTTTTTTTTTTTGCAGGAGGTCCCCCTACTTTGCAGATTCTGTTTTGTTTTGGTTTAACACCCCCCCCCCCCCCAGGAGTTCTCCAACCTCACTTTTCCCTGGCCTCCTGGCGCACTTCATGTGTGCAGGCTGCTACCCCTTTGAGGCTTGAGGACATGAGGAGGCTGGATCTCCTGCCTCCTCTTCTGCCTGTCGCTCCCAATGTATTAGGCACATCCATTCCCTGGACAGTTTGGGTCTGGGGACACATGCTGGTTGAAAGAGATGGGCAGACTTTCCCAGTTAGTCCAAGGTCAAACCGTTCTTTGCTTTAGCTCGTACAGATGTACCTAGAGTAGTAAGTGTTTTCTTTAAGTATCCTGCCTGTGTTTTTTTAATCCTTCTGTAATTTGGGGGGAGGGAGGAGGGGGGTGCATTAATTTTTCACAGGGTCCTAGCTACTTTCACTAAAGCTTATAGCTTCTCTTTCAAATACTGCAGACCCTTTCATTCCTTGCCCTAGTCCTTGCCTCGTCATGCCAGCAAACGCAGGACAGACTCGGGTAATCTCAGATCCATTTGCCGCGTGTCCTGTGAGCCGTTTGGTTACATCAGTGTCGCTCACCGGGACTCCGGCTTAAATACCGCATCAGCTGAGGTCAAACTTGGCAAAACTGGCTCGTACTGTAGGCACGCCGTGCGCGTAGAGGATGATCAAGGATTAACAACCTTTTTAATGTGGGCTTCATGCCCGCCCTTTTGAAGGCCAGCCCAGCAGCACATTCCCCTTTCAGAAGGCGTTTACAGCCTGCCGCAGGAGGCCACTTTAAGCGGACATCATAAGCTATGTAGATGCAGTCCCTCGATTGCCAACATGGGAGCCCCTAGTGCTTTGCAAGCATAGCATCGGTCAGCCCACGTCTCCCTGTTGGAAAGCCGGGAAAATGAGCTGCTGATGAGAGTTTCTGGAGCCAGTGCAACTAGGTACAGTGCAACTACTTGCCAGTAGCTGCCTGCCTCGGTACAGCATGACAGCCCCACACCGGGCTGCCCGCTGGCTGAAGCAGTAACCGCAGGCAACGCACTTGGTGGGGAGCTCGCTGCTTCCCAGGCAATCCTGAGTTTTACACCTGAGGACCTTCTGGTTTGCCTTCATTTTCATGAAGCAGCAGACAAACAGAAGCCGCGTCACTGCGCTGCAAAGCCAAAGCTGCCTCCAAACCCCAAGTGGCCGAACGCAGCCGAGGATGAGGAGTGGGGGCCCTGCAGCCTAACCCCTACCTGCTTCACTTTTTAAAAAAGTGGAAATTTCTCCCAAGGCAAATAAAAGGATTTTCTTTACATATAACAAACACGCCAAAGAGAAAGTTTTGGAGGGCCTTTAAAGAGCCTGGGCTTGAAACCGGGACTTTCACAGCTTCTGAAAACTTCCTCTAGGCTTTAACACACCACACCAGCGCGGTTCCCCCATGGCCATCTGTCCCTTCTGGGCTGTGGTAATGGATCAGCCTCCAGCGAGGATTCGTCCCCCCGTGTGCAAGGCACTGTAAAGCCATGCCTAGCTCTGCTCTGGGGAGCTCGTGAGCCACATGCAAGCAGGGACGCGGGAACATAGCAGCAGGCTGGAAGCACGAGATGACAGCGGAGCAGATGAGCAATGGTCCCGTCCATATGGTGGGAACAAAAAAAACCGATTGAGGATGGATTTTTATAGGAAACCCATGTCAAATTTTCTTCCTAACAGATCTAAAACCAAATATAAACCTGGCTCTTGCCAGCATCCTACCACGTCTTACGAGGAGAAACAAGAAATGGCTGCAGCCTCCACAGACTGACACAGAGCCAGTAAAAACACTGAGGTTCCCCACCCATGCTTCCCACCTTGTTTTTGCCATATGGGGATCCCAGCCACAGTGTTGAAGGGAAGTCTCAACATGGAAGACAGAGCATCTGAAGGCTACATAATATAGCAGTTTTCACCCATTTCTTGGTCATATACTTCATTCATCAACTGCTGTATCCTATTCTCCAAACCAACTCTCCATCAGAGAGGCTGTGGATCTCCATCTTTGGAGACAGTCATAGCTCAACTGGATAAGTCCCTGAGCAACCTATCTAACCAGACCTGCTCTGAGCAAGGGCTTGCCCAGATGACCATCAAAGGTCCCTTCCAACCTGAGTTATTCTGTGATTCTGGTAATACTACCTGGCGCTCATTATAACAATCACGCTGGGAAATATCATTGCAGTGTATATTTTATTTGATTTTCTCCAAAAATAACTCAATATAAATCTCAAGGAGGGAAACACAAGCCTATGATACAGCAACAATGTTATTACATGTCACCAGCAACCCGTACCACGTACAATCACACACACATATGGCCATATTGATGGTAGACTGATGGTACCATCCACTGATGGTAGAAAGGAGGAAGAATCTGCAAACTGGCTTCCAGAGAAGTGGTTCTCACTGTACAACCACCACACCAGGCCAAACAGTTACAGTGCGGACATACAGGACTTAGTAGTAGCACAGATACATCAGACTGTGAGCAGAAGAGTTTTCTCCTTCATCTTTGATGAAAATTCCTTTGTCGCTCTAGGATGCGGTCTCCTGGGAAAGCCAGTTACCCTGAGCCTGCCCCCAGCAGCCCTAGCCAGGGTTCATTTCAGTGAAGTTCATTATTTCTGTGAGGTCAATAGCATAAGTAAGGTCCCTAGATTCCCTCTGCAGTCAAAGGAGGGAGAGGAATCTTCAGAAGACAATTCAGCCCATTAGTTTCAGGCACCTCTCTTACAGCAGCATTCATTTGTCCTTTTTAAAAATGTCGTGGGAACGAGATGAATCACAACCTAGAGGTGCCCACTTCTTTCCTTTGATCAGAAGAGGTGCAAACTACAAGCTGAGGTAAACATTGCTGCTGCAGATCTTTAGGGTCGAGGGGACGAGCCTCAGCCCAAGGGATGCCTGAGAGCAGGAGAGGCCCCATGTCGGGGTGCCTCCTGGTCTTGGCCCCATGAGCCACTGGGGAAGGGGAAAGGAAGGTCTCCGCTTCAGCTAAACAGCTGGCCCTTGGGGACCCTAGGGCTCAGCATAAGGAAGGAAAACAAATGTCCTAGGACTACTTGGGGTTTGGTGTTTTCCAAAGCAAGATTATGGTCTTCCAGGAGGTGGGCAGGCAGCAGCAGAGAGGAGAAAAGTAACTCCCTCAAGGTCACCAGTGGCACTGGGAAGAGAAAGACACATTATCAGCTATTCTGCTCCAGCCTCTGACAGCCACCACCTAAGGCTCAAATGATGGGGGCTGCAGACACAATTTTCAGACCTCTGCTTCAGAGATGAGTTCAGCTTCAGGCCAGGGCTTATATCTTTGTATCGGCACCTATCTCAGGGTCTCCTTCCAAGCTTGCCTTAGCACTGCTTTCCTCTTCAGCAGCCTTTGGTTCATCCGTTCTCTTGTCTCCAGGTGGTCTTTTGGGGCAAGCAGGGAGATACTGAAACCAAGAGACAGCACAGTATTTGGTGCCTATCCCAAAGGGAAGATCATAGACATTGGAAACAAGCTGAGAGTTGTCCCCCTCTTCCTTCTGGCTTTGCTTCCATGCCAAGAGTCCTCGTTCCTCCTGCGTTCCTGCAAAAGAGAAAAGGAGAAAATCATTGTGTAGAAAACATTGAAATAGGTGTACCAAACATAAGACTGCTTTGTGTGCTTTACACCCACTCCCTGTATCCCTGCAGACCCAGTACAGCGTATAGACCCTTAAACCCTTCTGGCTTCAAAGCTCTTTACAAAGATTACCGCCTGTTAGACTGCTTTTCTTTCAGCTCCAGCTTCCCTATCAGCAGTCTCCTCCACTGCTTTTCACATGGATCAAGCATACAGCAACAGGTTTTCACAAGCAATGGGGGAAATCCAAGAATTATTTGAAAGAAGCCACAAAGTGTTAGAAAAACAAGGCTGGATGGTAACTGCTGAGTTACTGTGGAGTGGGTGAAACAAGATTTAACTAGCAATTATTAGTTACAGGTGTTTACATTGGCCAAGACATTGGTAAGTGCCTTTAATCATTGGCAGCAGCTAAGTCCTTCCTGGGGAAGGGAGTGAGGACACCTGTAAATACTACCTGGAAGAACTGAGTACTGAGGGTTGCAAGAAAATTAGAGAGGTGAAAGGAGGCTGGCTTTTCAAGAAGGTTGAGATGGAACAGCAGAAGAATCTAGTCAATGGTATCTCCTTCCTGCTATTTTTTTCTGCTGCAGAAATAGGGGTTTTCCCTCTCTTATTCTTATTCTGTCTCTCCCCAAGCTTGATCTCTGCTGGTGGTGAGTACCAGCAGCAGGTGCTATATCCCATCTATGGCTATGAGGCTTTCCTGGTGCTTTCCACCCCTGTGGCACTAGGGCAACCTCAGTTTTAGTAGCTCTCATAAGCAGGCACACATCAGCACTTCTCCTGCAACCAGGCAAGAATATATTTTTTTCCATCTCATGTTTCCCAAGGTTCCAAAACACTTTCTGAAATCCCAGGACAACACTGAGACCATCTGAGGATTTCTAGGGAGAAGAGGGGGAAAATAAGCTGATGAAAGGGAAAAGATGGAGGGGGGGAAAAAAAAAACACTTCAAAATGAAAGTGGTTGTGTTGTGCCTGATCCGAGGTCAGAATTTGAGTATGTCCCACCAGCAGGTAAGGGTCCTTTCCTCCAGTTGCCTCTCTCTCTTTTCAACCAACAACATGACTTTAGGTTGTTATTTTCTCTCAAAGATGATATTGCAAATAAACTTTTCTTCAGATCAGGCTGTTCCTGAAAAATTAGTTTTTGATGAACTGCTGTTTTTTCAGACAGAGACCATTTCAGTGATGGCTTTCCCATGTCTCCTGTTCTTCACCCCTTTTGGAGGAGTTCAGGGATGTGGTGTTTCATGATTGCTAGCACAACTCCTATCCACAGAGCTGATCCAGTAGCAATGAAGACCGAAAAAAAAAAAAATACTAGGCAACAAACCCTAGGGCAGGCAGAGCCTAGTAGCTTAGCTCTTTTCAACAAATCCTACCTGGAATGGTGTTATCAAGGAGAAACCCCAGGAATCCACCCACAAACATGCCAGTGGTGAGAAGCACTTGTATCACTTGGTCCAGCTGGATGATTCCTAGCAGAAAAACAGCCTTGAGTAGTGATGCAGAGAGACACAGGCTTGCCCAGCAACATAGCCAGTGCCAAGAGGCTGCAAGCTGCCTGCCTGTTAAGACAAGACTTACAAATCTCAAAGCAGAGCCTAGCTTTTTGGCAATGCAAGGGAGATTGGTCCTTCCTGCTAATTTCAAACCTGCAGTTTTATTCTGCATAATTATGCATTGACCCAGCTGCCAGTGGGCAGGAGATGATTCACAAATGCATTAAGAGCCTGTCTACGCTGCAAGTCATCACAGCACTGTCTCAGGAAAAAACCTTCTGCTCCAAACAGGTTCTGCACCTCCATGATGTAATGCCAAGCAGTTCCTTACAAACATGCTAGCTTCAGTCCCTAAATGAGTATAAATTTATTTAGCATGGAGTTTCACCTTAAGTTAATCAGGTGTGCTGCTTTTCTGCAAGGGCTGATAGGCATGAGCAAAATAGCCCAATGACACAGAGGATCTGATAGAGCACCTACAGCACATCTGATTTCTGGCCCAGCTCTCTCATCACCCCAGCATGCCATATATACCTTACCAGAGGACCATGTGGCCTTCATGACAGAGACATTATCACTAGAGATACAATGAGGGGTTAACTGTTCTAGGACTAGAAATTTCAATGAACTTAACTTGATGAATTCATCAGCAGATGAGTCTGCTTGTGCATTTTGGAAACACAAAGTTTTCTTGCATGTGAGCGTGTAAGAAAGCCTCCTCCATGGAGATCTTGAACAGGATTCAGCCCTGGGCTGTTTTCCTGCCCAAGGCCTCACACTGGAGCCTGTCCTGGGAAAGTGTTCACAGCCATCCTCAGCCCATCGGGAACCTGGCACGGTCCAGGCGCCAATCGGTAGCAGATTTCCACCCCAGAGCTCTGCAGGAGAGCAGAGCGCAAGAACAACACACCCCCAAAGCAACAGGCAATAGTCAAAGCACAGGCTTCAGGGTTTTATTTGGAAAACTGCATTTTGAAAGATTTCTCAGGATCAGCCTTTGCTTCAGTTTTATACTACAGAAAACGGTTCTAAAACGCGATGTGATTTCACTTCTTACCTGTTTCCAGCAGTCCACTATTTTTGCTTGCCCAGGTGGGAATTGTGAGGCCAGCAAATACAGCAAACCCAAAGATAAAGATGTTTCTGGAGGAGTTCATATCTGTATACTGCACAGAGAAATTGTAGACGTTACTACTTGCTCTTTAGAACGACCATAATGTGTTTTAGTGAGACTTTCTTGGATGCGTGTACAAATACAAAGCCGATGACAGGTGCTACAACAGAAAGTTGTACTTAAAGCTGAATCAAAATTAGCAAATGCTTTCAGAAATGTGTATGCATATACTAGCAATTATATAGGGCAGTTACAGTTAGATGGCAAAGCACGCCATGGTCTCCGTTTTACTGATGGGGAAACTGAGGCACTGGAAGAAGATGGGATTCACCCACTATCACTGAGCAAACCATTGGGCAAGCTGGAAGTGAAACTTGTTTACCTGAGCCCCATTCCTGGCTTGTGTCCTCTGGTTGAAGGTGCCCTCCCCTAAACAGACATGTGCAACAACACAGCCTGGGTGACACCCATACCATAGGATATAGCGAAAAATCAGTCATACAGGCAGTGGTAACAGCTTCCCCCTTGCTGATAACAGCTTGCTTCAGACAAACCATGAGAAGGGGCTGAAAATAACCCCCCCCCCCAGGGAAATCACTCCATGCATTAATGAAGCTGGGGGAGCAGCCCTGATCTGCTGGGTTGTCAGTAACATCACTACCTGGAGCGGCAGCAAGCTCTGCCCCGACCAGGAACCCCTCTGTGGTTTAGCCCTTTGAACCTATTGTGTCCTCAGCATCTCCCAAGGAGCTGCCAACACAAATGTTTGCATTTGCTGCAACTTGCTTATATCTGACTCAGCTTGATAAGAACCTGATTTTGAATCAAAGTCCCCTTCCTTGAGGATGAAGTGGTGTTCACCCAGCTGTTACCTGCAAATTGGAAACTCCCACCGCCGTGATAACTCCAAACATCACCAGGAACATTCCTCCAATCACAGGGGTAGGTATGCTGGCAAACATAGCACCGACTTTCCCAAAAAGGCCGCTCAGGAGCATGGCGCAGCCACCAGCAACTATCACCATTCGGCTCCCTACCTGGGGCAAGAGGAAGAGGACACAGTGTCATGTGTACGGTACAAGGAGGTGGAGGATGGATGTGCACACTCAGCAGGCACTCGTTGCACCTCAGATAAAGCACTTAATTGCACTTTCAGCTCCAAGGTTCAGATACAGCCTTGGGTGTTCTAGCTGAGATGTCCTCGCTGCATGGGAAGCATCTGTATTTGCAGACTGGCAAAGAGTTATTACAAAAGCCACCCTGAGAACAATCACAGATCCACACCCATTCATTTCCTGTCATCCTCTTTCCTACCATTGTCAAGGACTTGAACAGTTTGCTGCTAAACAAAAGTTCATCATTAAACTAAGAGTGCAATAACCCCCGCATATGGCTTTGCTCTTGCTCCAGCCTAGAAATGTCTCAGTATACCCACAAGCTGGGGCTGCAACTACCCACTTAATTCTTTGGACAATATTGCCACTAGGGTTTAGATTTCCATCTACAAAGGGGTTTCAGCCAGGTGTCTGGCACCGCGGCCTCCATTTCCTCAGGAACAAGAATTGGGAGAGCAGAGCTGGCCAGGTGAGTTGTTTAGATCCCTAGCTCCTGGATCTGGTATATCCTTTCTATATTCAACAAATGGCTAACAAGACGTGGGGAAGTCCTTTGGTCTGTCCTTAACTGCCATCATCCATCTAGCTTCAGTGAAACCAGTTTTGTCTCATTTTTCCCCTAGGGAGAGCCAAGGGGCCTTTCCTTTGTCAGGCGCTACAACAAAGATGGGATGAATCACCAAATCGTGCCTCTTGTGCAGATCTGCTAGAGTATGTGAACAGGAAGAAAAGAGTATCTGCAAAAACTAAGGGATTAAAGAGACATTTAGAGGTTATGGAAATTAAAATAAAAAAAAAAACAGCAATATTTATTAGACTTTCAATCCAAGATCTGTCTTGCCACATCAAAACTTGGAAGGCTTAAAGAATCATGCTAAGATTTAAAATGCTCACGTCTTACGCAGAGGAATTCTGTAATCCTCTGCAAACATTTTGTAATTCAATTAATTATTTTAATCTTTCCTTGCAAATATCTGAAGAATGTCATATTTCCAGCAAGGGCTTTTTGCCAACACTTTCAACAAAAACATTTCCAGTAACTAGTAGTGTCCCTTTTTGAATATTTATTGATTATAAAAGATAAATGAATAAGATTTTGTGGGGAATTTCAAAATAAAATCATACATACATTTCCCTTTGCTGTCGGGTATGCTTTTTGTATTCCTTGACTTTAAAGCTTAGGACATTGTTGCTATCAAAAGTGTAATTTAATAAAAGCCAAAAGATCTATTTGTTCCAGGATTAAAATGAAGTTTAAGATCCTTGATTTGCCAAAATGATGAATTACTTGGTACATGGAGCTGACCTTAAAGGCAAATTAACTAATCCACTGATATCACAATTGAGAGCATATGATTTTAAAGCCTGTAGGTTAGAGTTTGTTTCAATTATGTCAGGAAAATAAGAAATTCAGTTCTCTTAAGGCAGAAGAAGTGCAGTTTGCTACTGCATATATGGCAATTCTGAGGCCTTTACTGCTCTTTAAAATTCTCATCTATTTTCTTGAAAATGAGAGCTCAGTATTGGCATGCTGGGCTTGATCCACTAACTTAAGCACGGGTGTCTGGTACCACTTAAGAGGTTATATCTTGGCAGCTTCTGGCAGCTTCTCCTTTGCTTTGCCTGCCAGCTGTGTAGGTATCTGAGATACCTGAAGACATTTCAAACGGTGCTGGACATCTTTATTCAATCAGGGAAACGCATCCCTTGTATTTCCATTTGTTATGGAAAGATGCATTTCCCATGCAAATCCAAATGCAATTAAATCTGCCTTGTGCTCTCAGCATTCCCATCTATACCAGCCAGAGTCTTTTGAAATGAGGCTGTGCATTTTCTGGACCTTTAAGTATGAATGAGTAACTTTTCCAGAGGTGGGATCTCAGGGAAACACCTCCCTTAAAACAGAAAGGATGGCATGTCTACCTGAAGGACGTAGAGGACACAGGACGAAGAGATTGATCTGATAATTATGAGCCTTGGGCGCTTTTCCACTGTGCTTACATCCTGTATACATACAATGTATGCCGCAAACTACTTGTCTTGAAACAAGGAGCTCAGGCACATGGTCAATATGTACTGACCACATAGCAACAAGGTACATGGGGTGAGGGACTAAACTGGCCCCCATGCAGACATCCAGGCAACCTCCTCTGCCAGAAACAACCACCTCACTCAAACATTGAAGGCTCAGTCTGTGAAAAATGGTTATAATGAGTGAGGTTTATAAAATCCCATGAAATCAGCCATATTATAGAGTGGGAGCCATAAATCAATTTCTGCATTTATTTACTTTCTTGCAGCTCTGCTGACGTGACATAGCTTATTTGACAATGATTTAAAAATGTTTTCTGGTTGGCTGCTGTATTCTGGTTGCTGCTATAAAGCTTAGTGAAAATCTATGATCTGATTGTCAAGCTTATCTCTAGAAATTTCATTCCCTTATAAGAGCAATAAGATACTGAAGGGATTCCGGAAACTTTATAGAGAGGTAAAAACATAAACCTTTACCATCATGTTTTATAAGTCCAAAGAAACAGTCTACCTTTCTCATCACTGGGTTATAAAAATGTGGAATTTGAAGTCCTAATAAAGATTTCTTAGATTTCTCCTTTTTTTTTCCCTTTCCCTTGTTTTTTTTCCCTTCCCTTCCCTTCCCTTCCCTTCCCTTCCCTTCCCTTCTCTTTTTTTCTTTTTTCTTTTCTTTTTTCTTGTCTTGTATATATTCAGGAAAATAGATATATAGGTAGATGGACACATAGGCAGGTGGACAGACAAATAACTTTGATAAATTTAGTTCTCAGGAAGTTCCCAGATTAGCTCACAGCGTAACGTCCTCTCTTTGGTCTTACAAACCAGGTGCTGTGAGTAACAGCAGTGTGTACCTCTCCCATATTCAAATCATATGCGGTGAAAGAGCAGGAAAGACTGCCTATGTTACATGATTTGGACAGTCTGGCTGAGATGGTCACCAAGAGCCCGTGGGCAACAAGCACATTTGTTTCACGTAATGTGTCTGGCAAGAGCTGGGCTAAGATCAGTTCCCAGGTCCAGCACATATTCCGGGTGGATAACATGCTTCTAAATACATCCTCAGGACATATCTCTGAGCGGGCTATGACATTCCTTGGCCGGTGGCATGACGCGGCCACCTCGCTGCAGCAAAACTCACCTTGGTGATGCCCAGGGCGCCCACATTCTCGCTGTAGGAGGTGGTGCCATTCCCGGTCCCCCAGGCACCAGCCAGAAGGCAGCCGATGCCTTCCACCCCAATCCCGCGGTTGATGGCGTGCTTTGGCGGTGGCGGAGCGCCCGACAGGCGGGCGCACGCATAGTAATCGCCCAGCGATTCCAGCATGGAAGAAATCACCCCAGCTATGATGCCAAATATCCCAGCCAGGCTGACGGTTGGGACTCCCCACTGACCTGCAAAGAAAGAGCTCAATTTAGAGTCAGTGACATCTCGTTTGCTCTGAAACCTACTGATGGATAAAGCAGCGGTGGCACTTGCAAGCGTTTTGCCTCATCAGCCAGCCCAGGCCCAGCTGGGCTGCTCAGGGTCCTTTCACCTCCCCACACTGCCTGTAAGCAAGGGCACAAGCCAGTGAGGCTCCCAGCAGCAGGAGCAGCGGGAGCAGTGAGAGCAGTGGGAGCAGCAGGTCACGGGGCAGAGGTGGGCGCCACGCTACCTGGGTAGGGGAACCGGAACCAGGGAGCCTGAGACAGGACGTCCCCTCGCGTGTCAGTCCGAGCCAGGTGGCCATATCCTGCAGGGTCCGCGGGGAGCACGTCGGTCACCGTGAGCACATAGCAGAGCAGCCAGCTCAGGGAGAGCCCCAGCAGCACCTGTCCGTCACATTCGACAGGGGCGTCCCATTAGGGCACAGCCACATCTCCAGCAAGCCGGTAGGGTCACACAGGGCGGTACGTGGTTGGTCTGGGGCAGGGTGTCTCCCAGTCTGGCCTCCTCCCCATATGTGTGTGTGCATGTGGCATGGGAAAAGAGTGCCAGAAGGGTGCTCCCGTGTCCCGGTGGCGCGGACTCCCTCCCACCTACGGGGCAGTGGTACCTTCTTGCCCTCTGCACCCTCCTCTGCAAAGAGCAGTCCTGGGGGCAGGTACATTGGGCAATTGAAGAAGGCTCAGCTGCATTTGGGAAGTGTTTTCTTTCTGATTATCCAGACAATGAAATAAAGGACCAGAGAAAGTAGGGATCACAGAGACAGCCAGCTCCAGTACACCGAGGTGGTGAGCAGCCTGTCGTTTCTGGGATAAAGATGGCTTTCCAATGCTAAGATGAAACCAAACTGCAACATAGGTGAGACTAGGAAACTCTTACTCTGCTGGAAGTGAGTGGAAGGAGCCTCTGAGCCCAGACACCCTGAACTGCGTTAGCCCAGTCCCTCTACCATCACCAAGAACTTACTGGGAAGATCTGGAAGAGGTAGATCTTGGAGAAGTGGCACTTCTTGCCTTTCTGGTAAGACAGCAATGGCACAGGCACATCTTTCAGGTACTGAGAGAACAGAACTATGAAAGCAATAGTCCTAGACAGAGGGGAAAAGTAGATCATGAGACAAAAAAAAAATCCCCAAAAATCAGGCTCTCGGCACTACAGGGAGGATCCCCACTCTGGCAAGGCTGAAGGGGAACAAGCTTCCCGATATACTCTACCTAGAGTCTTGTTGCGCTTGTAAATGTTTTTTCCCCCTTTTGTTCCAAGATGTACACCACTGCAATGGTAAATCATTGATACCATTGCCAGAAGTTTAAAAATGATGTTGAGTAAATGAAAGACGTGCAAGGTCCAGGTAGGCTTGAACTGCTCTATATAATTCAGATGTACTAGAAATACAGGATTTGTTGATTTCCTGATTTCAAGTGTATTTGTGCTGCTTTTAAGTTGCAAAGAGCTCCTACACAGCAAGGAGAAAAAAAAGAGGAAGTCACAGGGTCTCGTTTCACATCGCAAGGGGGCATGGACTCACATTGATTTGGCTGTGCAAGTTCCTGCTTTGAAAGAAAAAAAGTGTGGCAGGACAGTGGTGCCGCGCGTTGTGCCCTGCTGCCCTCCCTAATGCTGGGGTCTCGTTCAGCGAGTACGAAACGGTGCCCAAGTGCTCCTGTCTGCAGAAGCAGTGGTGCCCACCCTAGGAAGAGCCCTCCAGCGACGCCTTGCAGGGCACAGCTTTCCCGGTCACACACGAAGGGTAGAGCACGGCCGCCCATGCTGCCACAGCTGCACCGTAGATGGGTTGTCCAAGGTAGTGGTGCCCCTATTTGCCCCCAGCAGGCCACGAGGCTCGTTCTTGTAGAAGTGGCTACAAGGCGCAGCTCCTCTCCTGCCCTGGCAATGGGGCTGAACCTCCTGGAAACCCCAGTGCAGGGCTGCATGACCACAGAGCTGGACTTGCCTTGCATACACGGCTGAGCACGTGCTCACAGCAAGCCCTGTCTTCCACCCGTGCTGCTTCGCCCCAGCAAAGACAACCAGGGCCAGTGGCAGATTAAGCTACTGATTGTGGTATCTGGTGGGAGGCCAGGGACTGGGCACCCTCACAACTGCTAAGCTCCACAGCTTTTATAACAAATCTAAGTTATATACAACAAGCGAATTATTCCAAATAGGATTTGGTGAGAAATGGATTGAATTACATTTAGTAACTTTGCACACTAACGGGAAGAAATGGTAGTTTTCCATGAGTGAAAAGGTGATATGAGCTGTAGGCACAATATGGATACCCAACTTCCCAACCTGTTCCCCACATTTACTCAAGGCCTGGCTATCTGAGGAGTCCAGGACTCCAGAGGACCCCAAAAAAACAGGTCCTCTGCACCACAGGAAGAATGCTAGCAGTGCAAAGGAAACACTAGCCTCACCTCTCTGCAAAGACGTACCACAATATACAGCCAAAGATTATGAATCATCAGTCAAAGCATTGAATGACGACACAGAAAATTCAAGGAGGACCTGCTTTGTGTTCTTTGTTTCTAAAGCAACAGAGCCCAGGTCGGCTGCGTTAGCGCACGTTTTTTTGCGTTTGCATTTACAAAGGGGCTCAGCAGCTTTGTGAATCACTGAGGCACAGTCTTCTATGTTAGGTGGGTGTCACTGCTTATTATTCAGATTGCCTGACATATCCCATTAATAGATGCTATTTTCAGCTAGTTATAATTCTTCCTAACTTTAACAATTCAAGATGAAATTTTCCATGGAAAACATCTGCCTCAGGCCAAATATTTCTGGAGAAATATATCCCAAACCTATTTCCAGTAATAACACTCAGGAAATAGACACAATATGGCCTGTGTTGAGAGGGGATTTTGCCTTGAATAGTGGGAGGGCCTGCCTATGATCTGAAGCAAAGACTTAAGATTCAGTAAGACTTGATCTTACTGAGGGATATTGCTCTTTCTCATGCAAATCTGCTCAAGCATGATCAATCTGTAAAATGATCATTCATTCTAGGTACCAAGTGCTTGGCAGAACCATCTCGGACTTTAGCATTTGCAGCCCATACAGATGCTGAGCTTTTCAAGTGTTTCCAAGCCTCTCCCATCTCCTAGTGATGAACTGTGTATGCACGATCATCAGGGAGCAGATGAGCCCACACTAGCCCAGGTATTCGAGGCAACAGAGGGTTTCGCTTGCCGTGGGTGCTCTGGGATGCTCTGGGATGTGGTGGGGCTGGGTAGCAGGGCTGAAACCACAGGGCTTGTGTCTTCCCCCTTCTCCGTCATGTCTCTCCCCCTTTCCCTATTAGCACCTACACAGCATGGAGGGGGCAGCCTCACAGCGAAAGAGGATACAACTAAGATAACTCAGAGCATAATAATCAGGTTGGGGCAAAGGAGTCTGAGTCATGAAAGAAAGATTGGGATCAGCACGGACAGGAGATGAGACAGAAATGCAAAAGACAGCAGGGTGGCCAGGGTTGAGGGCAGGTGGGGGACTTAGGCTGGAGGACAGGGACTCCACTGATGGCAGATGGGAGCAGCAGGGTTGGGCAAAGAGGTCGAGCAAGGGAGCAAGGTTAGGAGCCAGTGAATGGAGAAGGGAAGCAGAAGGAGGAGGTAGTCCAGACAAGGCTATATATTTTGAAGGGAGAATTCAGCTTGGCTAAGGAAAGAGACCAGGATAAGACATGGAGCTGAAGACTAGGACAACAAGCCAGAGATGCCATGGAAAAAACTATGGTTGGATGGGAAGCCTGGAGGTGCAGACAGGGTTTGAGATCTTAGGGTGCGGGAGAGGAGAGACCAATTAGTGAGGAAGTGGAGGTGGAGAGTAGACTGATCCAGCAGAGCTGGTATCTGAGGCCTAGGACGGGAGGTACAGGGAGGCAGAGCAGACTGGCTGGGCCAGGAGGAGCACAGCTGGGAGCACAACTCCAGCCTGAGGCCTGAGCCAGGGCAGGGAGCATGTATCCTCAAAAGCACACTGCCTCCCAGGGGCTGGAGTCAAACCCGATCCCTGTGACTCCAAAGGCGGCTCTGACACCACTGGCAAACCAATGAGAGTCCATAGGGCGAATAACAAACTAATGTCGTATGCTACCCCAAGCTCAAGTCTACATGATGGATCTGAAAGAGTCAGATCTGCAGATGAACCATATGCAGTGGTATTTCTACTTTTTTAGTTTGTTTCTGAAATGCTAAGGAAATTCTACCACCAATCGTAAGGGCACACACACAGATATCCCTGAAAGAGCACTCTTAATGTTGCAAAGCCACATGTGCACAATGCAGATGTTTCCAGACTCCCCAGGCCCTGCTAGGAGAAAACAATTCCTCCTAATCCTGTGAAAGCAATATATACTGCTATTTTAACTTGGTGAATACCTAACTTCAAGCACTCAACTTTGTCATTTTAAGAATGTCTTTTTAACTTAAATTCTGAGTGTGCGAGCTACCATGTGTAGACAGCTATGATAGAGATTGCCCCAGGAATAACCACAAAAAAGACTTGTTGACTGACCTATGAACTCAGGGTTTTCACAAAATCAGATTTTTTTTAACATCATTTTTGTTTTTTTGTTGCTGGCATTGCTGAAGGCTCTAAGCTCCTGAGAAATAAACTATGCCGTACTGGTGTCTTGCACAAGCCTGTCACATGTTAGTATTCAACAAATAATTCCTCAATCCCTAGAACCCTGCTAGAGGCTATAATATTTGCTTTTATTTTAGAGGTAAATGGTCTGTGTACACGCAGCTTTTCCAAGGGGAAGTGAGACTTACATGAATGATATGCCCCAGTGTTGGCCAGCGTCATCTCCAGCCGAGTCAAAGAGAGGTAGCGCAACCAAGGTGATGGTTGGGGCAATTGTCAGAGGGCCAATGAATCTCATGAGAAATCCAATCAGGCCAGAAAATCCAACAAAGATTTGGAAGCAGGAAGCTACAATGATAGCTCCTTGCACCTGGAAAAAATGGAAGAAAAGGGCAGAGGTTGAAAGGAGCTCCAACTGTTAAGCCTTTTCTTAAATAGGTCAGTGCAAAACGAGTGTGAGAGCCAAGCTCAGCTCCCAGTGTTGGACAGGCATGGAGGCCTCCCGCTGATGACAGCAGGACCTGACTGAGAGTCATGTGTGAAGAAGGGCCACCAAAGTACCAGCACATCAACTCCCCTGGGCTGATGGGTTTGGACCACCCCCAGGCCTGCGTGCCTGGTTACTCGTGTAAGCCATTACCCCTACCAACTCCATGGCAGTGGAGGAGGAGACGCAGGGCTGAGGAGACGAACATACTGATTATGTCCTATTATCTGTTCAAGTTGTCTTTTGGGGGTCGCTAGGAGGTAGGCAGACCTTGAGCGGGTGAACACAATACCATATCTGAGTCCCTTGGGCAGCACATGGCCCACAGAGGAGGATGAGGCTGACTGGGCATTGCAGCACGCTGGTAGGAGATGAGGGCACGTATAGCCAGGCCTCTTTTTTTTGTGTGAGTATCGGTTTCCCCGAGGGAACACATTTATCACTCTGAGCTTCCCTGTGTTTGACATTCACTGTTTAAGTGGTTACGTCCTGAAAGGCGGTTTGCTGCTCACATCAGCTCCAGCTAGGAGACTCAGAGGTGAGGCTCCTCTCTGCCGTCGCAGATGGAGTGATAAGTCCCAGTTTGGGTTGTCTGAGGTGCTGAGCACCTTCCTCTCCCTCTGGCTCTAGAGGAAAGAGAAATACCCCCAGGCTGGGGATAAAGCCCCCAGCCTGAACGGAAAAGGCAGCAATCCCCGTGTGACAGAATAGCATTTACATGTATCCACAAGGATGGTGCTCTGCACTACGCAGCAAAGCCTTCAGGATCCCAGAATGCTTTTCAAGCTCTTTTCAAAGCACCCCAATATATAGATCAACAGAGGCAAATTCAGCCACTTACTCTAATTAGGCAATAGATGTAGAATAAGACAACAAGCTCCCTGACCCTTCCTCCTCTCCTTTGGCCAGCTAACAATACTCTTTCTATCTCTTATTATCTACAGTAAGTTGTGTCCTTTCACTTCTGATTACTAGGTTTCCTGTGCATAGACAGGGTCCCTTCCTCAGAAACAGCTTCTCTCCTTTCCTTCCTCAAGGCCAACCACACTTCATGGCAAAAGGATCTGGCTAGACCAATGGAGACTTTGCAGGGACCATAAATGAACCAAGGACTGTACATCCTGTCCTACACACCTCTGTCCAAGAGCAGCAAAGCACTTGCTTTTCTACTGGAGAATAGATACCAAGAGAGCCACAGCAGGGTGAGGAGCAGGACCACCTGGGGCTGGAGCGCTCTCCGGCACTTACGGCCCTGCCGGAGAAGTTCAGGAACTTTTGTGAAAGCAAGCAGCCCTGATGCAGAACAGCTATCACTAAAAATATAATACAGCTATGCAAATCCCCTGTCATGAACACCTTTAGAGCTGCTTGTAATACAGCCTTCAGTCTGCCCTGACTCAGCAGTCTCTCTTGGGAGGGTCTTCTCCTCAGATCCTTGCCTGCTCATGAACTGTTCAGCATGCTTCTAGAGCTGGTCTTGGCACAGCCTGTCCGCAGGGATTACCTCTCGCATCCGTGTCTGCCAGACTTCAATGAACTCTGGTGAAGAGGCATTCACTCGGGTGGCATTCTGCGTCCAGGCAGGGCACTTCCACTTGGGCAGAGACAGCATGGCCAGGGTGGGAGTCAGGAATGCAAAAGTCCCTCCTTGGATAATAGGCAACCTGGAAGGAACCCAGAGGGAAAAGCTGAAGAGTGTGAATGCTAGGATCTGAGCTCTGAAGGAATGAGAGACATAAAAGTAAAATAAATTGAAAATAAATGAAAAGTCAATCTGCTCTTGGCCTCTGGCAATGTCTTTTGAAATGTTCTGGCAGGGTTCCATCACTGACAATGCCTGGGAATTGTTACCCGTTGCACTCAAGAGTAATGTCAAGTAAAGAGCCCGGGTTCAAACACCAAAAATCGAAAGATACACTGGTTCTGGAGTCAAACTCTGCTAAACTGCTTTAAGGAAAAAAATAGTCTTCCTAATGTGTGATCAGATCATTTGTCTGACCAGGTAACAGAGCCCCATATAATAAAATAACTATGAAAAGAAAAACCTGTAGGAGAAGAGAAGACCAAAGAAGAAAAAGGGTGAAATTCTCAAGAAAAACTTAGCACAGATAAGACTTTTAGGCATAGATCTTGCCAAGATCCAGTTCCTTCCTCTGTTCCCCTCATCTGCCTCAGTTTTCTTCATGGGCTGCTTATAAACACAAGCACAAACACAGGCTACTCCCCACATCATAACCATCTTCAGACTGGGGTTAGAAGTTGGGACTTGGCTTTAGTACGCTGGGTTTTAAGGCTAATTCCTCTGCTCTATTTCTACCAACACTGGAAGGAAAAACTGCATGGGCAAGTCTGAGCTCTCTGGCTTGGGAATTGCTCAGTGCTTCTCGCATGCTGCCCATCTCCTGGCTTAGAGAAACTCTCACTCTTGAAACCCCTCAAGCTAGCAACGAGCTTGCGCCTTCAGCAGCATTCAGAAATGGCTTGGTACAGGGCTTTATACATAGGGATCTGCGCTCCCTTCACTCTTGTGAGCTAAGCCAGACTTCTTATTTCACATATGAAGAAATGGCAACAGAGATATAAAAGGCCCGAATGACTCTTCAAAGCCACTGAAGGCACTAAGCCCACATTTCACTGGAAGTTGTTTGTTGACGAGGCCGTTTCTCTAGGGCGCTTTAGAAACCTGAACCTGTCTGAAGGCTCAGGCTGACACAGCAAGGTCTGAACAAGTCAACGCACCTCAGCTTCGTTCTTTAGGGACCATTCCTGAGAGCAGTCCCCAAAGCAACCTCTCCTTGAGCCAGAAGGAGAGCTCGTGGCACCCGCTTAGAAAACCAGCGGTGGGGTGACCCAGGTGAATACTTCTGCAGAGAATGAACTTCCCTGAACTAGGGGTATTTCCACCATTCCGTGGAACACCCTGGAAAAAAAAAGATGGCATAACTCTAGCAGCACCACTCCTCCCTCGCCTAAAATAAATATTTGTACCACTACACTTACTCATGCCATGTACATCTGAACCATTGTTCAGGACTTTGGCAGTAACTTAGATTTGAATGTCAGTCATCCATGGAGTCACTTATTTATAGCATTCAGTCGAACATGTTGCAGCGCTTCAAAGAATTTTGCTGGGCAAGGCAAAAAACAAACAAAAAGAAAACACAGAAGGCCCAATGCCACCACTGTTGAATTAACAATAGATGTATAGCTCCTGGTGTGTTAGCCCGGAAGGTAGTTTGCAGCCGGTGCTGCTGGTGACATCTTGGGGGGGGGGAGGGGAAGCTGGCTTCTTTCCAGTGGAGTTTGCAAGACAAAATGCTGAAGGTTTAAAGAAGGAAATGTTACGCTCTGATCATCATTATATGATATCTGTGCATGTGCTAAGGGGGCTCACTGTAACGATAAGTGACCTGTGTCTCCTTCAGGACCCTCTTGGATATAGTCTCTCCAGTGACTGTTTGGGACTCATTCATCACTGCTTTTTCATGCTGTATAACATGACTAAGCTGCAGGTTAAAGTCAGTCAGGCTTCTCCCTTGGCTGTTGCTTCTGGAGGGCTGCTCCAGAATTGCGCTTGCTCTCGGTAAGAACCTCCCAATTTCCTATGTTCCTAGCCAGTTCCTATCTATTTGTTCATATGCCAGCTTTGTCTTTTAGCTGAAACAGTTTCTCCCTGCCTGATCCCATCCCTTGCTTTTCCAGTCTAGTTGCTGACTCCAGCCACACCCCTCTGAGCCTCTGTTTTGCCAAGCTAAACAAATCAATCTATCTCACGCAGATTGCTTCTGTAAAATGAATTGTCTCCTTTCCCCATGCCACCTCAATGGCTCTGCTCCGTACCTCTTCTCCTCTGAATTAGTCTTTTTTACACATGGTCATCATGAACTGTATACAGTGCTTAGCTGAGGGGTACCAAGGGCCACGGATAATAACACTGATGTTTTCCGGGAAAAAACATCCCCTCAACCTTATATTTGCTGTTTTCCTGACTGTGATGTTGGTGGCTCATGGTTGTCAACTACTACAGGGTTTGAGAAAACAGAAAGAGAAAATAAATCTGCTTCCAACTTTCTCCTCAGGCTTAGTTTCCCTTCTTTAGCTATGCCATAGCCTAAGTCCCACCCCTAAGTCCCAGCAGGTAGTGCCTTAACACCTTTAAAATCTGGGCTCAACAGAACCCACTTAAGCTTAATTTGATCTGTTGTTCCTCATTTAGCTATTCAGCTACAGGAAATAACGCTCTCTGCTACTCTTCCATCCTTGGCTAACAGAAAACAGAAGACGTTACAGCTCCCAGGCATTCACAGAGCCATTTGGGAGCATGCCTGGGAGAAATTCCAGATGGAATCACCCAAACAACCACAGATACTAAAGGTCAAGGTCACGCACTCTATCCTGAATGCAATTGAACTGAGAAGAGCCAGAGTCCCTCTCTTTCGTAGCTGGGAAGGGTAGCTGGGCATTTCGTAGCCTGGCCCACATGGCACACATGCAATTTATGAAAAGTGGAGCCCTCTTGGAAGAGAGGTTTGTCTACAGCCATTTCTTATGATGGACAGATACGGAAAAGTTGCAGTGAAGGAAGAAACAGGAAGAATAAAAAGCATTTTGTGAACCTGGGAATCTAGATCTTTGGGGGAACGAGGGTACTTGCAGATATGTTTAGGTACTTCATTTTGTGGGCAGCTCCAAGCTCATCTTCTCACCACTGGCTCTTCAACGGCTCAGCAATGAAGAGGGTTTACCTTGGTTAAGTTCAGACTGTGCCATGAATCCCTGGCATGAGAAGTGGTAATACAAAACTGGATATGCTTGGGAGTGCCTCTCTGAGTTCCTAATGGTGCAGCAGATTGGAGCCAATTTCTCCTATTTACCCCCCCGCCCTAGACTTTCTCACAGAGTCTGTGCTCCCTTGATCCTGGGCCCGGATCAAAAGGCTCCTGCCTCAACTGGAGGATTCCTGGCATACAGAGGAAGAAGATACCGTTTACTGCATGCTTTAATGCTTTACTGTTTTGCATGATAGATTCCTTACTAGACCAATAAAAGGTACATCAGGAGACACAAAAGTCAGAGCACTTAGTCAGCTGATCCTGCAAAGGTATCATGTACAGTGATTTTGGGATGCTTTGGCATAAGCCCTGATTAGCCAAAGGTAGCAGATAGCCTTCGCTGATAGATAAGCTCTACGATAAACTGGTCACTGAACCACTGAGTTGTTGCATCTACAAGAGGTTTTCTCATGTGTCACATTTCTTGCATTTGGCCTACCTGACTCCAAAGAAGACTTGCAGTAGGGTGCAAATCCCTGAGACAAAGAAGATGGTGCTGATCAGGTGGCTCTGGGTGAGGAGGTCATGTTGGAGGCACAGTTCTTTGGAGAGGATCAGAGGGATGGCCACAAGACCTCCCATAGCTGTCAGGAAATGCTAGGAGCCACAAAGAAAAATTAGATGAGGAAGGATGTAGAACTGGCCATGTATTATTACTGGGTCATTGAGGAAAATCTAAAAGCAAACTGTAGACCAGTACTTATGTGATACTAGTATTACTCATGCTCCTCCTTTTTAGCCAGTTTTAATTCTCTGCTAGGAGCTGTTCCAGAGTACCCATGAGAACTGCAATGCCCCCCACTAACTTCACCCACTTTCCACGCTCAAAGACCTTTTGTGGTGTTCTAGACTCCCCAACTAGCTGTCGAAAGGGACCAGTTTATCCACAGCACCTGCAGACAATGCCACTGGGGACTCTCTTCCAGGGAGGTGGAGATGTTCCAGGCAGGGGAAGAGAGCGACCAGGCTAGATGAGTGCAAACGTGAGTTTCAATCCCTCTCTTTTGGACCAGAAAAACTAGAGCTTACCAAACTAGAGCTACCCATTCTTTGCTATCAATCAGTAGCATTTATCTCACCATGTATTTACTTATTCATTTGTGAATAACCTAAAAAATGGATGAGAAGTAATGAAAAAAATCAGGCCCTCTGTTTTTCAAAAGGGTCACAGACATATTTCTACAATGACCTTCAATTAATTACTAAATGTGAAAATAATTTTTCAAACATAATATTGTTTTAAATGTTGACCTTTTTTGTTGCGAACAGCGGATTAATCCAAGGTCATTTTAGTTGTCACTTCCCAGTTCTCATCTAGTAGCACAAGGCTGCAACAGTGGAACTGATAGTGCTTGATAGCTCACAGTACTCATTATATGCATGTTTTATTAAAAGAATGATGGAGATGTGTTCATAAAACCTTCTTTTTATACAGTCTAAATTTGGAATGGCCATTTAAAGAACCAAATAATAAAATGTCCACCAAGCTCAGTCCATTGTTATCTTAATCATCCTGAGGTCTCCCTTCACTGAGGCTCTACACCCAGTGACTTTGCACGGCATTGCTAACTTTGGGTCGTTCAGTGCGCATTGCCCTGGACACAGACCAAACACAGCGTGGGCCTTTCTCATGCTGTCTCTGCTTAGATTTTATTGCAGTGTGACAGCAGAAATTCTGAAGCCTTTAGACATTTGGCTAACTTTAGCAGAGGTATCTCACCTATTCTTATTAACTATTTGGCTCTGACCCTGGGACTCTGTCTTCCCGTTTGCACTTCAAGGGGCACAGTGTAATCATAAGCACAAGGATAACGATCAGTGTTCAGGAGATGGTGGGAAGGACCTGACCTCATGGAGATCTGATCCCACAGGTCTAGTCATGCCTGGAGAATGTAAAGCACTTCCAAATTCAAGTTTCACCCCCATTAACTGGTTGAAAAGCCATTAAACTCCCATCCACCCCCACTTCCTCTGTCTTCTTCCCAGTCTCACCTGAATGCCCAGCAAGATGCACAGATACCAAGGAGGTACATCTGTGACAGTGTATGCCAGCTTGCTGCTGTGGTCCTCTTTCCTGCCTTCCTTTGAGCCCTGGGCAGCGAGATCGGGAAAGGCATGGTAGTGGCTCCCATCTTCACCCTGGAAAGCAGGAGAGAGCGCTCATTAGCCAGAGCCTGGCCCAGTGGGCACCGAGCCACTGCCTCTCCTGTGACCATGCTCCACATCTTGTGGGAACACCTTGCCTGTGGCTTTCAACAAGGCCAGGGTAAAAAAGAACGAGAGGGGGAAATTAAAAGATAGGTTAAAATGCCTATGGAAATTGTTTATAGGCACATGTGTATCTAGACCAGAAGAGATGTTGGACAGTGTCTCAAATAGCCTCAAAGACATATCTGGAGAAAAATGCATTAGTATCATTTATGTTTATCTGACAATGGAGAAACTGTCTTTAGAAGCAAGAAAGAGTCTGCCACAGGTTAATCCATGAAATGTGCATTGTCCACTATTGTCTGCTGTCCATGGCTGTCCTCCACAAGCAGTGTTTTTGATAAACTATCCTAAAACAAGCAGGCAACAAATAATTACAGACTAGAAGCATGTTTTATATTTTTTTTTCTTCTCTTCAATCTTCTCTTTCTAATCTCCTTACCAAATGCTCTAAAATCTTCCACCTTGATAAATACACCTTCACTTTATCATACTAGAAAACCTCTCTAATCCTGAAGAGCCAGACAAAACACAGCAAAACCAATGATCTTGGAGACCCCATGCCCATTTTGAACACATACAAATCCCTGTGGGTGCGCGCGTGCGTGCACGCGCACACACACACACACGCACACACACGCACACACGCACACACACGCACACACGCACACACACACGAGGAATTGCTCAGGCAGTGGGAGGCTGCTTGGGAAGCCACAGAGTTTTGATCTAAATGCAAAAGCCTATTAAGATCCCAAACTGTTTGTTTCATTGACGCCTCTCCAGCCAGCGAGTCCCCAGCACACCCAGAGCAGAGGACCTTTTCCGGGCTGGGATGCCCGGCTCCGGCAGGCAGTGGCAGAAGCCTGCCTTGCCCTATTCCTTTCCCAGTGGCTGGCAGGAGAAGCCAAAAGAAGTCAGTACCAAACTTCTTTTCTTTGTTCTTCAGTCTTTCCAGAACATATAGACCCCAAAATGCCTAGCAAAGACAGGTATCTGCAGTAACTGTCACGGCCTACCCATCACTGTAGCCAAAAATTAATACTGTAATCAAGAAATAAGGAGGTAAATTCATGTTACATTCAGTTGTGCAGCTTATTAATCCTGGAGGACTGCATCATTTGCCTGAAATCGCCAGGTTTTTAGTGTCTCTCATGGCTGAGTCTCCAAAGCCCCATTTAAGATCACACTGTTAAAAATGCACTACCTAATACCTTTTAAAACACAGCGTTATTCACCTAGCCTAGGCAGGCTGGGAGCATTACAGATACTTAAAAACAGACAGGTGAGGGCAGAGTTAATTCAAAGAGAGCTCAGGCATGAATTTAAAGAGCAACAGGCGTTCCCAAATAACTCCCCGTGGAGGCATTTTCATTTCGGAACAAGAGATCCTGAGCTGTGGATTAGCAAAAGTACAAGGTACTTAAGCTTGCCCATGCATGGAGTTTTTGAGGGACAGCTGTTCCTGAACACCACTACGCGTGGATGGATTGTAAGCTAAGAGGGCAGCAGTAAGCACCTTTTCTTGGACAAGCCACCTCCCACCCCGTCTCCTGCAGCAGCTGGTCTCGGCAGAGACAAGTCCCCGCAGCAGCCACCTGGCTTGTGGTGATGTTTCCCAGCCCAGCTATGGCTGCGAGTTCAGGTGTCCAGGTTGTCCTCTGCCTGTTGTCAGGTGCCAGGCGCAGGATCAGGGTCCTCGTCAGTATTTTAAATAAGCACATCATAAGAGCAATAGGAAACTGAACTACTGGAACCACAGGTAGGAGATAATTAAAGTGGTGATTCCCACCTGAGGGAGTTACAAACCTGATCTGACTTATGATGGAAGAGGCAGAAACAGAGACAATAATAACAACAGAAAACCTCTGCATTGCTCTGAGCACTTCTCCGGAGGCTCTACCTGCAGCTGGCCCAGCTCTCCCACTTACAGCATCCCTGTCTCCACCACTTGCAGCAAGCTGGCCAGAAATTATTTGAGAAATGGGCGATATGGGCACCAAGAGGTTAAATGACTCTCCCAAGGCCTCAGTTCTGCATCAAGGCAGGCGGAGGGTTGTAAGACCCCACGTTTTCACCCTTGCTATGGGCATATAAGCAGCTCTTCTCATTTCTAATGAAAGTTGTCTGTGCCCTGAGAAGGGAACAGGGCTGCCATGCCCCACTCCTAGCCCTACGGCTCTGTCACAGCGTGCAGGGTTTCCCATGCACTGCACACCCCTCAACAACATTCATTTGCAGGTGCTTTTATTATCCTGTAACCCTACGGGGTGCTCTCCCCAACTGATCCCCAGATCCCTTCTTCTTCCACCTCTCTGTCAGTTTGCCCCACTAGAAATAGCTCCAGAAGATAAGGAAAGACATTCTTCATCAGTCTCAATTTTACTTTTACTTTTACTTATTAGGATATAAAACCCTCTAACCAGGGACACAGCCACAAGCTCAGTTCCTTTTCAACAGAGATAGATACACTTGCACTGCTGTTCATCTACTCTCTCATTTTTCAAATAATAGAGAGAAAAGAAGCAAAAAAGAGTTCCAAAGAGTAGAAACTACCTCAGGTCTTTAGCAGTAACAAGCATTAACCCACAAGCATCCTTGCAGTCAGTTCAAATCCCCTGGCTTTCCCTTTCTCTTCCTTTTGCAAGGCTCACACCAATTTATGCAAGAATTAACCTTCCGAAAAGAGCACACTCACCACGAAGCTGGGGTTATCTAGCCCGTTGAGCTCTTTGTCTGAGGAGGGGGTCATGCCTTCTGCTTGTCTTCACAGACTGCCTTGAAAAAGAAAGACAAAAAGAGGAAAGCCTCCCCAATTGCCACCTGTCCCAGGCAGGACAGCCCTAAAGAAACTGGGTAAGATGTGGAAGCTGGACTTCAGGAGTCCACCACCACTCAGTCCTAGTTATTCATGTGAGCAGTATCACAGAGGCATTTCTTCTCCCTTTGGCTTATATAAGTGACTCCTTTTCTCCAGCTGATTAGAGGACCGGCATTCAGACCAAACTGGAAAGCAGCCCTTCCCTGGGCTGAGTGGATCATTAACTGATGACAGAAAAACTTCCTCCATAGGTAAGGATGCAAGGGGATATCTGAGAGGTGAGACATTTCCCTGTTTTTCTGGCACAGTTTTGAAAGGTCATTATTGATGACCTTCATTATTGATCCAACAGCAACTTGCATTTGCCATGTGGGTTGGGCCTATTTGAAAAGCTTTGTGCTGATCACTAGACAATTCAATTTCTAAATAGTTTCACTTATTCTGCATGTAAATTGCTGTGTATTTTGGCTCAGGTACAAATCTCATCATCTTGTACAATAATCCTATTACAACATGAAAAGAATGAGGATAGCACTGGGAACCTATTTAAGACAGCAACCAATAATCAAGTCGTCAGAAGATGATATCAGAGAGATATAAAAGATATAAATAAGATATTAAAAGTATAAAACCACAGGGTATAGTCCTCACAAGGGTAAGGATCCTAGCTGAATGGAAATAATCAGATGACCTGAGGCACACAGTTTAGTTAGCCTTATCTTAATAAGCTGTAAATAGTGTTAATGCTCCAACAAGTCATTCTAGCCACCCTCCCCAGATTAAGTATTTGCTTAATTTAATTTAATGGCTTCCCAAGGCAGTAAACAGCACAGATCGACTGCAGAGTACTCCTGCAGAGAGGGTCACGCTGACCGCTTACAAACAGTGATCGCTCACTTGGAACGTCTCCTGGTTTCCAGATAGGAAGCAGAATAAGAAAAAAAAGCTCTGTTCCCTATTTATCGTGTAGAGCATTTGTACTCTCAGACCTTCAATCCCAGCTCTTCCCTTGGCTAAATAATCCTAAGAGTCCATTACAGGGGGAGACCGCTTTGCCCCGAACACAAAGCAACAAGCTGCCAGACAGCTACAGCTTAAGGCGTCGAAATCATCAGCTATTTGTGACATTGCTAGAACTGTCCGAACTCTCATTACCTAGGGCTCTATCTATGTATTTCACTTCATGGGGTGCATTTCCAGGCACCCTGATCTTGGCATGAGGACGCTCATCTTCTGCAAGCTCTAAACAAGAACTCTTTTCCTGGCCAAACTACTCTGGACACCTTCACCCTCAACTCTACCAGCTCCCAGCACAGAGGGAGCATCACAAAACCACCTTGTTTTACAGACATGCTCATCTCTCATTATCCAGTGCGCTGAATGGCTGTGGCTCATTATGTATTTATGGCGTCACATGGCATTGTATGTACTGACAATGTCCATTAAGCAATACCAGTGAGGATGCACAATTGCTAAACCCTAAGAGTATTTGGTTTTTTTCCATTTCTTTTTTAAAAATGTACATTCCTGCCTGCCTTTCTCAATGGATATGGTGCTGTTGTCTCAGCAGCTGACAAAATCCATCCATTCTTATATCCTCCATTAGCCTTTCTCCACTACATGCATCAGCCATTCTCTGTGCTGTATGAGCTCTCTCTTTGTGTATTTTGTTTTTTCAGGCCATGGCAAAATATTCCTGTGGGGTTATTCTGTCTTCCTTTTAGGAGACAGACTTTTAGGAGAGCTCTCATCAAAAAACAGTCTTCCACCTCTTAGTTTCAGCCCAGCCTCTGTTCAACGGCTCCTCAGGGAACCATAGTCTTGCCATAGCCTTGATTTCAAATGAGACCCAGGCATTCATCAATCAGGGTTTCTTCTTCTCTTTAGTTATATAAACTTGTGCAACAATCCAAAGAGCAGGCATGTAACAACGCCTATGTTATCTAGACCGACTGTAAAACTTCCCAGATGTATAGTATTAAGTGAACAGGGTGAGAAGAATGAAAGGACTTCAAAGATAGTATCAGTAACAACGATCCCTTTTCTCAATAAAGTTGGGCAGAAAATAATTTTGCTACTCTGGGAAACTCTCAGGTGTCAAAAAGAGTCACTGGAAGAGTAACAAGAGACTGCAGTTTTCCATGAAAAATGCAGGAAGTAAGTCCTGACTAGCCAAAAGCCTAGAGATTGGCGTAGGCCTGTTAGGATTGAAGAGATTAGTAGTATCAGGCTCTGGTCAATGACAGTTTAATGCTGTAGGTCTAGAAACCAGACAGTTATGAAACAGCAAAATGGACATGCCAAAGGAGGAAATTTATGAAGTCCATGTAAAAAATGCCCCAGTCTGGGATGTTCTGGCCTTGGAAAGAAACAAAGCCTGTGGGAGCTCTGTGGGCATACGTACTTGTCTATGTCATATGTGTATGTGCATGCACGTATTTAACAGGATTAGGAATAAATTACTAAATTGAGAGGTTTTCAGAAAAACGAGTTATTCAGATAGCAAAGATGCATGCTTAACCAGTACTGTCATCAATTAATAGTAGCATAATCAGTTGTGTAAATGGCCTTTAGGAATTAATGAGCAAGTACTTTGCAATGTGTTAGAAAAAAAAACAAAAATAGACTATCCTATGGATTCCCCTTAGACTTGTGTGCCTGTCTGGCTTATCTCCTACTGTCAGCCACATTACATGGCTGGCTGCAAACGTCTGTAAAGATGGTCTTGCTTTATGCCCCTGGGGGCAGGAGAAGCCAGAAGACTGTTAGAAGAAGCAAATCAAGGACCACCTTGGGGACCTGGGAGACCCAGGGAGACTCCAACCACACCACGATACCCACTGGGCTGAGTGCAATGCATGAGCTCCCTCAGCTCTTTTCTGGCAGTCTCGCAGTTTCCCCGCGAGTCTCCCCTGACCCACTGCCTCCTTGTGTCCTCCTGGTGTTCATCCGCCTGCTCCCATAGCCATGCCACAGCACAGGTCCTGGTGGGAGCATGTCATCCCCCGTGGACCAGCTCTTCCCCCTGCCTGACCTGCTCTCCATGCCCAGGCCTCGCTTGAGCCAAACCTCGCTGCACTGAGATCGAATCCGGGTAGGCGACAGAAGGCACAGCACCCGAGAGGCATTTCTTATTACCCCCACCGTTTACCTGCCTGCGCTCCGCCAGCGACTGTCCTTCTAGACATCTGTGCTTCGTGAGGCAGAAGGGAAGTGCTTGCTCTTCTCTGGGGCTGGTGCTTTTCAGCATCATAGAAATTGCCTTGTGCTGGGGCTTAGCTACACACCGCAGAGCTGGGAGGGGTTGTGCTAATGAGTATGAGCGTGTGGGCCATGCTGGGAGTGCAAAAACATCTATGACCAAAGGAGGGACGTCTTAAGCTTCATTGCACTGCGCTAATGCCAGCGCCTCCCTGCTCGGCTGGCTCGTGAGGGAAGCGAGAGCCTTCTGCCATGAGAGGGGAGCCCCATGGCTTTTCTCCAATCAGGACCACCAGGGCGAGAGGACAGTGATGGGCACAGACGGTGGGGGGGAACCGTGTGGCATCTCCTGGGGCTGGGGGAGGTGGTGGCCTGGTGAGGGAGGACAGGAGAGAGGGTGCTGGCTTGGCAGCTGCAGAGCAGGGACTGGAGGAGGAAAATCTTCCAGGGCAAGGGCACAGCCACACAGGCAGCAGAATATGTGAGGGGGGGGTTATTTTTCCAGAGGGGAATTTGACAGGTTCAAAGGACGCAGGAGAAGGTAGGGGGAAACGCTGAAGATGGGATGCTGATGGAAGATCCCCATCAGTTAGCAGATACAGCTAAGCGCACATACAAGGGGCCTTTGAGCCCTCCGAAAACCCTGAGCTCTCCCCAGCAGCCTCCCGCGAGGAGCAGCTATGCCGAAGGAGCCCACCCGTAGCCCCCGCTCCGGGGTCCAGGAACGCAGGAGCCCCAGGGCAACCCTGGGGCTGGGGCAGCCGCTCTCCCGCAGGCACCTCAGCTCCCCTCAGAGCTCCCCTTTCCTTTTCCCCTCTCCCACAAGGAAAGAGCTCTCCGAGCCCGGCCGGCAACCCTGCCAGGGCCACCCACCGCCCCTGCCACACAGCCCCGTGCCCAGCTCTGCTTCTGCGCAGGCAGCCGCGACTGGATGGCAGGGGAGGGGTGCGGGGAATGGCTCTGAGATCCCACCTCAGCAGGATATTAATTTTGCAATAATAAGCCCCTTTATCTCCCTCAGGCCCAGGAATAGCTCTTAAGAGCATTAGCAAAGGAATAATCCGTGTCATCTACTCAGCATTTTGAGCGCAAGCTCAACAGCGGTTATTGTATCCCCAGGCTCTCGCTGAGCCAGTCCATTCCTCGGCGCATGTGACGCGACTTAGCGCCAGCTCTGCCCTGAAGGCCACGTTCGTGGCACGTGCTTGGTCACCCAGCTATTTAGTGGGTATATTGGGCAGCGGGGAGGGGGACAAGGGGCAAACTGCAAGGCCGAGCTGGCGCTGCCCAAAGCGGTGCTAAGCTTGACGCTTCCCGGGGCCCCTCCAGTTAGCGGCAGGCAACCGGGCAGCTGCGGGGCCAGCTGGGGTTGCACAGCAGGAGAAGACAGACACACGCCGCACCGGTTCAGTAGAGGGGCCCATTCGGGGTTAGTCCTCTTGGACCGAAGCTGGCTTTCCAGGCACGGGTGCATCCCCAAGGTCCCTGCTCGCCAACTCACAGCTCCCTGAGCGATGGCTGTTATTTACACCCAGAGGCGCCTCTGCTCTCACTGTTGCACTCACGTGCAACCCGAGGGTCTCCACCTGCCTCAAGGCTTATCTTCTCAGCAGAAACAAACAGAAAAACCCCTGCGGGCAGAAAGGGAAAGGAAAAAAAAAAAGAGTAAACAGGGAAATAACCACATGGTCACAGTAATCCAGTGCCTAGCTGCTGTGAGGTCTCAAGCA